AATTTTGGTGGTATGATTTTATGTCTATTAGGGAGTTCCATGTAGACTTGAGGTTGCTTATCCCACCATTAAAGTATATATGGTTCATCTACTGTATATACATGTAGAAATCTGTTTTGTGGAATGTTTTAATTCAAGCAAAGAGCCCCTTTTTGAAATGGTAAAGGTTGTCTTTCCTTGTCTGTGGAGGCAGAGACAATGCTTCCATTAGGGCTGTCATCAAAGAAACTGTACAAACACATGTATTTGTACAGTCTGTCAGTTGGAGGCCACAAAGTGGCCACACCAGCCTTGCAAAGGTCACAGCTGCTTTAACATTTCAGAGACAAATGTTCCACTAACACATTTTTCAAAGCTCCTCTTTCAAATGTTCTTTTTAGTTCTGCTTACATGCATTCATTATCATTCCATCACAAAAAGAATTACTGAGTTTAATCAGTAAAAAATCTGTTGCTTATATTCCCATATTCCAGTATACATATAATAGTAGTAGTAGTAGTAGTAGTAGTAGTAGTAGTAGTAGTAGTAGTAGTAGTAGTAAAGTTGGAAGGGACCTTGGAGGTCATCTAATCCAACCCCCTGCTTGGGCAGGAAACCCTACACCATTTCGGACAAGTGGCTGTCCAGTCTCTTCTTAAAAACTTCCAGTGTTGGAGCATTTACTGCTTCTGGAGGCAGGCTGTTCCACTGATTAATTGTTCTCACTGTCAGGAAGTTTCTCCTTAGTTCTAGGTTGCTTCTCTCCTTGATTAGTTTCCACCCGTTGCTTCTTGTCCTGCCTTACCGATCCATCTGGTGGTGGTTCTGTCTACCCCACATTTTTCTATCTTATCAAGTAGTAGATTGTGATCTATTTTATCAAATGCCTTACTGAAGTCCAAGTAAATTATGTCCACAGCATTCCTCTGATCCACTAATTTTGTCACTTGGTCAAAGAATGAAATAAGATTTGTCTGGCATGATCTATTTTTGACAAACCCATGTTGGCTTTTAGTAATGACTTTGTTTGCCTCTAGGTGTTCGTTGATTTGTTGTTTGATTATCTTTTCCAGGATCTTCCCAGGTATTGAGGTCAGGCGGATAGGTCTGTAATTTCCTGGATCCATTTTTTTTCCTTTTTTGAGGATGGGAACTACATCAGCTCTTTTCCAGTCCTCTGGTAGTTCCCCTGTGTTCCAGGATCTTTGAAAAATATAGTTCAGTGGCTCCGATATCACATCTGCCAGTTCCTTGAGAACTCTGGGGTGTAATCCATCTGGTCCTGGTGATTTGAACTCATCTAGGCTGGACAGGTGCTCACTAACCATTTTCTTGCCTATCTTAACTTGTGTTTCTGTTTTGTTTTTTATGGCACTATTTTTGATAGGTTGGTCTGTTTTTTTCCCTTTGTGTAAAGACAGATGCAAAAAATGAGTTCAATAGTTAAATAGTTCTGCTTTCCATACAAACAGTGCTTTTTTGTTAAAAAAAAAAAGGTGCCAGAATTCATACACGTCATACAGCCCGCCTTGCCTACCCTACAAGGTTCCATCCAAAAAAGGTGCCGGAACTCCATTCTGGGCGTTCTATGACAAAAAAAGCCCTGCATACAAATATATCTATCATGCTGTTTACTTTCAAAGAAAGCAAAGTTATGGAGAGTGCAGTAATGGAGGGAAAAAATAAGGAGACATAATTAAAGCATGAGATAAACAGAAAAAGAAACATAGCTAAATGTAGCTTATACAACCATCATTCACTATATTTCTTAATGGCTTACTATCTTTATTAATCATTCTTGCTTTCTTACGTCCATACTTTGCTTCATACAATACCTTTTGTTCTTTACAATTCTCACTTGCCTCTTTTCTGAGTATCACATCAGCAACCTCTTGACCTTTCTCTTTCACTCCACCCACTCATTAATTTATATATTTGTTTTGTGATTTGATCGTCATTTGTTCTCTATGACCAAGCCACCTCAATGTATGTCTTTCACATCGGTCATTTGTTTTTTATCCAGTCCAAATTCATCCAGGATCTTTTCATTCTTGTCCATATCTTTTCTTGTTTTAAGTTACACATTTCCTAATTACCCTATTCTTGCTGCACCCAGTTTATTTGTATACTTTTGCTAACATACCCAGCTTTAACGTCTGTAAAACAAAGTGGGAAGACTCACAGGGATTCCAACAGCATACACATTTAATAAATATTATGGATGGTTGCATAGTCTGATGTTTAAAGTGAATCTGGCATTTCTGTCCACCTATTGACTCCTTCCCATGGACCTGGAATAGGCAGATGTTGTTATGTAAATATATTAGAGGTATCATCACAGGATGTAAGCTGTTCTAAGCAAGGCTACCTTTTGCAATTGACTGATCTGTGATTTTGTCAATGCCAGTGGTGTTCAAGTGGTGCTCACTTGTTTTGGAATTTCACACAAGTACTATCAGTACTATCTTTGCTTTTTATTTGCCACAATCAATCTACTTCTATTTGTAGGTCTTTGTTATTTTCTCCAGTTTTCTTTTCTTCTGCTATCTCCAAGTATTGCAATGTGCACTCGCCTGCACACAGAGAAAGAGAGACAAAAAAAGGGGGGGAGGAGAAAGAGACTGAAAAAAATCACACAGCTACTCCATAAGCATGTCCATATTTCAACATTGCTTAATTATCTACACCTGGGAGTCTTTGAATTGTTTAATATTCTCATAACACTTCTTACTTTCTTTTCATCATTTTTTTCTACATTATAGTCTATAAAAGTTGTTTGAATCTCGATGGAGAAGCCTAAACAATTATTTCCATCAAAATTGCTTTATTTTGCCTTGGCTTCTTTTAATCTTTTTTTTTCTTATTTGGTTTGCCTACATTCTTTGTAGCTATCTTTTGTTGTACACACACACACACACCACACACATGTATGTGTGTTTATGTATATGTGTGTGTGTATTTGTGTATACATATGTGTGTATACACACCCACCTACACACATACATAGTATATACATATGAGTGTGTGTACAACAAAAGATAGCTACAAAGAATATAGGCAAACCAAATAAGAAAAAAAAAGATTAAAAGATTATATATATTGCCTGTGGTACCTGCCCATCCAGTAAGAAAGGAAATTCTCCAAGTCCTGACCCCCTCGGGTGATATCTTCATGGACCATGAGGACAGACCTTCTCTGTCATTGTTCCACTTCTCTGGAACAGCATATCTCTAGAACATCTTCAATTCTGCTACAATTTCAGAATGTCATTAAGACTTGGCTCTTTGAGAGGATGTTTTAAAGATATGGACTGGTCAGTCCTAAAGAAGCTGGTAGCAATTGATGTAGGTTTGTTATATCTTTGTTATAATTTGTAATGTTTTGTTCTACTTGTCAATCTTAATACTAGATATGGTATTACAAGTTACTCAGAGTAATTTTTAATTGGAGCAGCATATATTATTAAACAATAAACAATCATGAGTCTGTGGATTCCTATTTTTATACAATCTGACATCAGAATATTTATCTTAAAAATAATTGTCTTCCAGGTTTTAATAAGGTTTCCACAAAAGAAGACTTGAAGATAGACAGTTTGACATATAGGTTACATTTTTAAAAGGAGAGATATAAATTATTCACTCCCTTTTGCAGCATATGTTTTAAAAGCAAAATTATGGAAACCCACCTCTTACTGTTTACTGTCGCTGTTCTTTGGCATGCAGTTCTGATGATTCACAAATAAAGGAATTCCTTCATTTTCTGTGAGTTTTTAAAGATATCTTAATAAATATCTGTCCTGAAATCCAAGCAAAGGTTCATTTTCCCAAATATCTATAGATTATATGATATTGAAAATGTAATAGGAGTACACACACAGTATTGACTAGATTGATCCTATTGCCCTTTAAAAAGTTTAACACGGAGTTGCATATAAATAGAATCCGTATCCTTGCTATTCTGACAAAAATAGCACTAAACAGTTTAAAGGCAGAATTAAAACAGTTGAAGGTTCAGGATGGATTTTCATTTGGAGTCAGGAGATTATTGGTGGGCTTTTTAATTATTGAAGATTTTAAAAAGATTTTTGGATTTGCTTTTTAGAATATAGATCCAGATTTATCAGATTAAAGATGTGGTGTATTGGTAACTCTGCTAAACTTGAGATATTGCATAACTGACTACATTTTGCATACAGTCTAAGTCTTTAGACATAAGGTTAGCACAATTACTACTATAAGTTTTTTTATTCAGGCATGAGTCTAACTTCATCAGATGTTAATTTAATGGTCCCATTGCTATCATGGTTGTTGTATGAATTGTCAATTTAAGAAGGTTTAGATCGTTCAGTGTTCTGTTCTCACAGTGTCTAGTCATGTATTTCTGGGGAACTAACAATCACAATGTGAATCCACCATCACTTGTGGATCCAGTAACTGATATTCAGTATTTGACTGTCTAGCTTAGGAAGTGTTATGTCTATCCATTATGATTAGTAGCTATAGAAAAATTTATACATTATTTTAAATTTAGCTATACCTAGATTGTTTTAATGACCCAGCATAACCTGGTATTTCTGCTGCTGTTATGCTAGTATTCATTGCAATGAAAGTATCATCAAAGGTTCAAATAAGGCTTTTTAGCATATATATTGTTAAGAAAATTTTGTATACAAACATAGGAGGAATGAGAGAAATTGCAAATCAGCTGTTCTTGTCTGATGTCTTCCAATTATTTGGAATTGCAGTTGCATACCATCTTTAGTGAGAATTTGAGGAGTTGTCATCCAACATGTTTACAGATATTATATACATTTACTATAGTTTGTATCACTTTAATTTTGGGATATGGTTGAAAATTATACCATCTGTAATTAAATGATTGCTGTGATACTACTTGAAATTCAGTTATTGTTAATCGAAAGTATGCTGAACTGGAGGTATCTTCCTATTATGTATTAAGTTTCCAACAGTATTTTTTTTCTCTGAAGAATATCACATGCCATGTCTTCATTTTCCTAGGAATATATTGATGCTCATCCTGAAACTATAATTCTGGATCCTCTTCCTGCTATCAGGACATTACTGGATCGATCAAAATCCTATGAACTTATTAGAAAGATAGAACTATATATGAAAGGTAAGCCTCTAAACTTCTTATTGACTAAAAGCTAGTTGTGGGTTGGTAAAACATAGCTACTTTACATTTTTGTTTGCATATGGATAAATAAACTCCTACTAAAAGGAAATTGTTTATATCTGGAAGAAATACCATAACTGGTGGGACCACAAAATAGATAAAGAATATCCAATAGCAGAACTTTTACATACATATGTACAATCATACATATATGCATATCTATCAGAAAAAAACTGAGTATAATAAGATATAAAGATAAATAACATATATAATAACATTAAATAAATTCTATCTAAAAAGCATCACTGCTCAACATTGTCCAAATATAAAACTAAGATATTGCAATAGACTTTGGATTGGATAAACATGCTACCCTTGCTATCAACAGAGGAATAATACTAAAAATTGAAGGAATCAAAATGTTCTATGGAAATAACATCAAGAGTCTGAAGGAAGATGTAATTGTAGCTGATGTAGTTCCGATCTTCAAAAAAGGAAAAAAAAATGATCCAGGAAACTAGAAACCTGTCAGCCTGATCTCAATACCTGGGAAGATTCTGGAAAAGATAATCAAGCAACGAATCAGCGAACACCAGAGGCATACAAAGCCATTACCAAAATCCAACATGGGTTTGTCAAAAACAGATCATGCCAGACAAATCTTATTGCATTCTTTGACCAAGTGACAAAATTAGTGGACCAGAGTAATGCTGTGAATTTAATTTACTTGGACTTCAGTAAGGCATTTGATAAAGTAGACCACAACCTACTTGATAAGATAGAAAAATGTGGGTTACACAGCATCACCACCAGATGGATTTGTAACTGGCTGACCAGCCATACTCAGCGTGTGGTCATCAATGGAACTGCATCTACATGGAGGGAAGTGTGTAGTGGGGTGCCCCAGGACTCTGTTCTGGGCCCAGTGCTCTTCAACATCTTCATCAATGATTTGGATAAGGGGAAAGATGGGGAACTCATCAAATTTGCAGACGACACCAAGCTGGTAGGAAATTCAGTGATGAAAAAAGTAAGGTTAGAACAGTTAATCAGTGGAACAACCTGCCTTCAGAAGCTGTGAATGCGGCAACACTGGAAATTTTTAAGAACAGACTGGACAGCCATTTGTCTGAAATGGTATAGGGTTTCCTGCGTGGGCAGAGGGTTGGACTAGATAACTTCCAAAGTCCCTTCCAACTATTATTATTATTATTAGTAGTAGTAGTAGTAGTACAAATACCTGAGTCTCCTTCAAGTTGATAACAAGGCCAAGAAGAACATTAGTAGTTAATACAACAGAAGAGTGAAAATCTTAAAGTCCAAACTTGGTAGTAGAAATGTCGCTCAATTCCATTCATTAGATACAGCTAGAATTGGACTCAAGCAGAACTAAAAGCTCTGAATAACAAGACCAGAAAAATAATGATAATGAATCAACCCCTTCATCCATGCAGAGATGTTGACAGACACTATTTACCAAGGAGCATGAATAGGTATGGAGTGTTGCAATTATATCAGTCAGTTGAAGAAGAAAACAAGAACAGAGGAAGAATATCTGAAGGACATACTGAAGAAAACATACCAAAGCTAGTATACCAGAAGTGGTTACTGAATAGTAGAAAGACCAAACTGACCTATAAGAAATAACCAAACAGAGAATAGCAATAGCACTTAGATTTATATACCGCTTCAAAGTGCTTTATAGCCCTCTCTAAGCAGCTTACCGAGTTAGCATGTTGCCCCCAACATTCTGGGTCCTCATGTTACTGATCTCAGAAGGATGGAAGACTGAGTCAACCTTGAGCCAGTCAGGAAGGAAGGAATCGAACTCCTGCCAATGTGAGCAGAGTTAGCCTGCGATACTGCATTCTAACCACTCACCACCATGGCTCTTAAAGAATAGAAAAGACTCATGGCAAGAAAAATTATTACATGACCAGTACATGAAAAAGCTAGAAGACAAAGCAGCTAACAAGACCTGACAATGGCTAAGCAAAGGAAAGTTGAAAAAAGAGAGAGACAGAGAGAGAGGCTAATTCTGGATGCATGAGACCAAGTCTTAAGAACAAATGAGTATAAAGCTAGAAATGAGAAAATAGAAACAGTGGATCACCTGGTTAAATGCTGGAAAAAGATCATGCAGACAGATTACAAACAGTAGCATGACAAAGTAGCAACAATGGAGCATTGGAATAGTTGCAAGAAATACCATTTGCTTGCAAATAAGAACTGATGAGAACACAAAATAGCCAAAGTAATAACAAATGAAGATGTTAAAAGTACTCTGGGACTTTAGAATTCAAACAGTTAAGTGTCTGCCATGCTTTTTTGATCAGAAAGACCAAGTGGATATTGCAATACCTAGAGACAGCAGAAAAAAATAGAACTGGAGAAAATCACAAAATATAAAGGCCTGCAAATAGAAGTAGAACAATTGTGGCAAAAGAAAGCAAAGATAGCACCTATAATAATAGGTGCCTTAGGTGCAATTCCAAAACAACTAGCGCACCACCTGAACACACTCAGCATTGACAAAGTCACCATCAGTCAATTACAAAAGGTAGTTTTATTTGGAACCATTTATATCCTCTGATGATAATTTTAGTATCATTAAATAACATCTGCCTATCCGAGTGGCATGGTGGCCTAGTGGTAGAGCTCTCCCTTCACAATCAGGAGGCTGTGAGTTTGATTCTAGGTAGTGACAGATATTTCTCTCTCTGGGCGCAAACAAAAAATAACTGCTGTGAGTTTCACGTAGGTGTCAGGAAGGGCATCCAGCCAGTAAATGCTCAGCTCCATTTAGTCGCCCCAACTCCACCCCGATGCAAGGGATTACAAGGTTGTTAAAACACACATTCACACAAACACATACAAATCTACCTATCCCAGGCCTTGGGAAAGATTCAATTGGTAGACAAAAGTGCCAGATCCAGTCTAAATATCTGGCTGATTGTGTGACAAAGAAGATTATTTGTTCAGAGTTGTAAGGTCAGATACAGTAAAATATCCAATAGTACAACTGTTACACACAAACACACATATACATATACACACACATCAGAAAAACAAGTAGTACAATATAAAGATAAATAAGAATATATATAATAAAATAAAAGTAGTATTATAAAACCCCTATTACAACGTTGTTTAACCTTAGTCTGTTGGATCTACAATTCTCAAAGTACCTGTTCAGCATAGTCTTTGACAGCCCTAATATAATAGATATTTTTGAAATATAGAAACATCTGTGATTAAATATATAATTAATTTACACTGTAAATTATAATTTGTACATAATCTTGCATATTTATTTTATAGGTAAACTTAGCTAATTTTAGAAGTATGCTCACAATGTAAATAATTAGAATTAGTTTTTAACTTCTTTAGCAAAAATTAAAGAACAGGTGTGCTGGCAGTCTGGTATTACGTGCATTCATAAATTGGTGGACGAGTGACTAAGATAGCAATGCTTTTGAAATGAAGGGAAAGCAGCACAATGAGTTTGTTTGAAACTTTTAAAGTCTTCTAAGATGAATTTAATAAGAATAGATTCTACCATATCAGATTCCTGTCTATTTCATTACTAGAAGTCAACAAAACAGTCTACATCAGTTTTCATATGTGTTCAGTCTCAAGCTGTTATCATTCTGTTTTCATTTTTAAGAAATAATGAAAAATTATATTTTGTATACATTTTCCCATCTGTATATATTTATTTCTGAAAATATGTGTATTATGTATTTTTAATGCTAAAACTTTTGAAAAACTCCATCTTGAATACACACTGTCCTCTGGTGTAGAAATGAGGAACATGTGACCCTCATGATGTTGCTGCACTACAGCACAGTATTTCTTACAGTACATAAGTTAGCACTATGCTGGCTGGGGCTGATGAAAATTGTAGTTCAGTAATCTATCCTCCTCTACTGCAATTCTAGTTTTCCTGGAACCCAGGTTCTTTGGATGTAACAAAATAATGCTCTAGAAAACTTGTGAGTTCCTGAAAGTGTTATGTCTAGATTTCATTTAAAATTTAAACTGCAGATAATAGGCGAGCGGTGAAGAAGATGGGTGAATGCATCTCTTGAAGTCAATTTAGGGTAGCAGTCCCCAACCTTTTTGGCACCAGGAATCAATTTCATGGAAGACAATATTTCCAAAATCAGAACCATCCCTGGTGGGGGGGGTGGTTCTGATTTTGCTTGCTTGCCCGCCACTCACCTCCTGTATGACGGATTGATATGATCCATGGCTCGGGGGTGGGGGAACCCTGGCTTAGAGTATTGTCTCTCAGTCCTAAGTAATTTTACTTGGTCACTTCGTTAAATCTCTGGAGCATATGCAGAGTTTAATGGATTGAATTGTTCAAGCCCATAGATATTTCAGTTGTTGATGATAGTGTATCATTTTGTCTTTCCTTGTCTTTTTAATTATTTTCTGAGACTTTTAAAAATGTAATATGGATACAATGTGTAAATATGAGCTTTTTTGTTTTTTATCATAAAAACAAATTTAATACAAAGGCTGCTTTTTCTTTAATTTTATATTTTATGACATATGCTCTTTTTTACTTACTAATCACTGGCTTTCTCAAACAGTTTTTAAAATTTCGCAGTCTCTTCCTTATGTCTCTTTCTTAAATATTGGAAACACATTGGGTATTATCAGCTAGCTACTATTACTATATACTTCCCCAACTATCAACTTGTTTGTATTTTTTCCAAGCAATTTGTTGTTATCGAAATCAGAATAAATGTTTGCAGAAAATATGTATTTTTACACAGTTGTTGCTTTGCAGGGGAATTTGCGATAAATTGAGCATGGAAAGTGCATGTATGTACATTAAAATTATTTGCATCATTAAATTTATAGTTGATGTTTTGCAACTATAAACAAACATATTCTGTTGCTTAAAATAAGTAACAAATAACTGGGTGGAAAAAACCTTCTTAAAAATGTTTGTATTATATGAAAGCGAAGTATGTTGAAATCTATGC